TCTAACATTCTGTGATTCTGTGATCTCAGCAGTCTCTGACACAGGAAAATGGTTACAGCAAAGGAGCCGGTGTGGAGCAGGAGGCTTGTGGGGAGCACAGCTTCCCTCATGGGGCTTTTGGAGTCTCCTGTGGATTTTTTTTCCCCTTTGGTATTGTGGCTTTGGTGGGAATCCTTCGGCAGGTTCTCCAGCACTCTTAGCCCTGGCAGCTGCGCTCCAGCGAATGTGTGGGGCCGTGTGTTTAACTTTGTTTTGACAAAAGACTGGTTACGTTCCTTATATTTTTGGCCCCTTAAATTTACTCACTGTCTTAGGTACTCAGAGCTCACAGCTCCAAATCTCTTGCTGTAGTAAAGACTTTTCCCGCGGGGTTTTCCTGCGTGGCGGCACTCCTCCTGCCCCTGGAGAACCGGCTAACCCCACTGCTTCGGAAATGGATCCTGGGATAAAGTGTTCTGGCCTTGCGCTTTCCCTGTGGGCATCCCAATGCCTGCGTATCCCAAGCTTTTCTGGGGGATCCCCGCACAAGCTTCCCAGCTTGTTCCGCGCTTCCCGCTCTCTTCCTGCCGCTTTTCCCTTGGGCTGACCGGGCTGTGCCCCAGGTGCCGGCAGCCTGCTGCACGAACGATCCAGGATTGATGTATTTTGGGAACAAAGCGATAATTTGAATTTTTTTTTTTTTTTCACTGGTTCACCTACAATGAAACCATGACAGTGGAGAGCGTGACGCAGGCCGTGTCCAACCTGGCGCTGCAGTTTGGGGAGGAGGACGCAGACCCGGGGGCAATGGTGCGGAGCTGGGGGGGGGCTCTGGGGAGGTGCCGTTGGCTTCCCTCTGATGCTGCCCTTGGCCTCGCCTAACCTGTGGCCTCCTTTCTCTTGCAGTCCCGTCCGTTTGGTGTCGCGCTGCTTTTTGGAGGAGTTGATGAGAAGGGACCCCAGCTGTAAGTTCAGCTCTTTTTAATCCAGGCCAGCTCTGGGAAGAGACAAAATCCCTACTGCAGCTTCCCAGGGCACTTTGATGATTTGAGTCTGGGATTTTCCTTAAGCCGAGCACTCGGGGTTTATCCTATCATGTCCCTGATGTGTGTGTTAATGCTTTTAAACCCTTCCTCTCAAAGTATGGGAGCAGGGGCTGCTTGTTTGGGGTTGAAGAGAATGCCGTGTCTTCACCGAATCCTTGCTTTTTTTAACGTGGTTTCCTGGGAGGGAGGGAGGGAGGTGTTAAAGCTCTCCTCGTCCCGAGTTTATTCTTACCTTTCCCTAAAGGACTAGCAGAGCCACCGGTAACATAATACATTGCTGTGACATTCCTTGGGGAGGTGGTGGGGTGTTTGTAACCTGAACTGGTGTGCTTCAAACACCCGGCCTCGGCTGGAGGTGGGAACGGCTCCGCACAGCCAGCCCGATAAGGTCTCCTAGGAGCAGTAGTGAAAATTTGCTGATTTTATTAAAAGAAATACAATAAGGGGGAAAATGAAAAGGAAAATTAGCTGCTCTGAGTATGGAGGGCAGTGCCAGGAGTATGGAGCTCTCCTCCTAGATCACCAGCCCAGCTGCAGATGACGCTTTGGCACTCCTCAAACCTTGGGCTGCTCCTCTGCGTGCCTCGAGGAGGGACCTGCTGCTGTGCTGGTTGCAGCCATCCCCTGAGGCCACTGGGTGCAGCGCAGGGCTGCTGTGAGCTCTGCCCCATGTCGGTAGAGCAGCTGCTGAGGAGCCCTTGTTCTTCCCCAGCTCCGTGCAGGGAGCTCTGGGGAGCACTGGGGGGCTGGTGGCAAAGGCGAGGGGGTGCGGCGGTTGTTCACGCTCTCGCCTGTGTTCCTGCAGGTTTCACATGGACCCGTCGGGGACGTTTGTTCAGTGTGATGCCAGAGCGATCGGCTCTGCCTCGGAAGGCGCGCAGAGCTCTCTGCAAGAGGTTTACCACAAGGTAAAAGGAGGATGGGGGTTGAGATCTCACAGGTTGCAGAGGTAACACACAACCTCCACAGATCCAGTAGTTTCCCTCCCCGTGAGTGATTCATAAGGCTCCTCCCGCACCGTAGAGGAGGCGCGAGCGCTGCTGAGGGTGCGACGCGGTCCTTGGCAGCTGCTCCCGTGATTAGATGTCAGCGCTCAGCTCTGGGTGCGGATCTCTCCGACGAGAAGTACTATGAGCAGCAGCTTCCCCTGAGGCTGCAGCCGCAACACGAGACCAGTGACCGAGGTGCTGGTTGCAGCCTCTAGCGGGTGATAATTAAGCCCGTGTCAAGAAGCACTCTATAAATAAAAAGAGCTGCTACACAAACGCCGCTGGTCAGCATCAGAGCTGGGTATGGATGCAGCCTGAGCGTAAGGAATTAAAGCGGCTTCATTTCACCAGTGAACAGCTCTTGTGCTGCAAGTGCTGGTCCCATTTGATATTAAATAGAAACTTCATTCCCTCCACGAGTGGGGAGCTGCCCGTTTTGTGTGGTAAGAAACCAAACGCTAATAAAAAGCATCATTAAGAGTGTTGATTGTGTGGGGACTTCCAGCCCAACACTTGATAACCTGATCTGTTCACTCGCTGAGTTCTGGTCTCTGTGGCTTTTTAACCATCTTCCAAGTGCAGAGTTACCGCAGACCCAGCTATCGTCACCCATTGAATGTTGCACGGCCCTCTGGCTCTCTCACGCAGAGATTTATGTGATTAAAGCACAAAGGCTTTGGCCAAGAGGGAGTCCGGCTTTTTGGAGCTCCCACTAAAGCTTGCTGGGGGGGCAACTGGTTGATAGGCAGTAACTGGTGAAGGGAAATGGACCCTCGAGTCCTGGGTGTGACAGTGAGGTGTCTGTGCCCAGATTAACGGTTCTTAAGCTTTGTCAAAAGTTCTGCAGAAGCAGAAAGTCACCATCCTTGCAATTGTCACTGTCCTGCCCGAACAACGCGCTTTGATCTCTTGTTGATGCTGTAGATAACTTGATAAGCTTTTAAATTTGCTGGCAGACACAGCTGAAAGGATTTGAGAAGAACAGGAGGGAGAGCGGCACGCTTCCGCAGGCAAAGGGGTAACACACGAGTACGCCTTTGAGCTGCGTCACCAAGGCAATTAATGAGTGATTTCTTTTACAGTCCATGACGCTGAAAGAAGCAATCAAATCTTCCCTCGTCATCTTGAAACAAGTTATGGAGGAGAAACTGAACGCAACCAACATTGAGGTAACCGCGGCCCCAGTGGCAGAGCGCGGCTGTGGCTTGTGGCACTCGGTGCAGAGCAGAAGCCTGCACCACGGGTCGTCTTTGCGTCCTCGGTGCGAATCCTGCCGCCTGCCAGGCGAGGGTCTCGGTCGTGTTTTGCACTTTAAACACCCAGGTGAGAACACTGCCTGCTTGGATTTCGGAGAGGAGGGTTGGCTGTGCTGCTGGAGCCAGGACGGAGTTGGTGGAGAAGCTCAGGACTCCCCGAGCCGGCGGCTGGCTGGCTGCAGATGGTCTTGTGCTTTCAAGCCGCCTGTTGTAGCGTGTCGTGTGTGGCACGTGGGAAAGGTTGGAGCTTTCTGTTGACTCCCAGAGGTGTGCAGCCTGGCCTGTTCGCCTGGCTAACCCCCGAGTGATTCTCGGGAGGGCTCCCTGGGCACGGGGCTGGAGCCCCCACTGACCTTCCCCGGGGTGAGTTAGCCAGCGGGAGCCTGGCGTGCCAGGATTGCTGTTTCTTCCCCTGGGTTTAGCCATTCTTTTTTCCCCCCGGTAGTTGTAATATTAGAAGGAATGAAAATTATACAGCTTCTGGATTTGCTATATTCAGTCTTGGGGCAGTGCCAAAAATCTGCTGGACAGGAGGAGCGCAGAGGTGAAGCTTCCAGGAACGAATGTGCTCCTCTAACCCCCGGCTTTTGCCCGCCAGCGGACAGAGCTCAGCGTGACCCGAGCGTGCAGCACTCTCGGAGATCCCCACCAACGTCCTGGTACCTGTCCCCTCCAACCCTCCTCATTAGCTTGTAGTGCTCCTTTTTAGGCAGCAAAGGTAAAAACCCTTCCAGTTCGTTAGTGCTAACGGATAGATGAGGAGCAAGGCTGGCGTCTAGAGTTTGCTTCTATTTCTGGCGGGTTATGAGACACTAGACCTTTTCAAATCACAGCATTTCGACTCCTGAGCTGCTCTCCTCCCACCGTTCTCCCATTCCTTTCCTCTGAGCACTGGGAACCCGTTTCCCAAACAGCCTAAAAGTGTGCACCCCATTTTTTTATTAAATACTGGTGCTGGAGACCCTTCCTGATATTTTGAACCATTTTTTTGGGGGGGAAAGGGCTGACAGCACGCTGAAAACTGAGATGCTCTGGCCAGAACCGATGCCGGCCGGCTGAAATCTGCTTCCCCAGATCTGCGCTGATCTGTTCTCCCTCGATCAGCTTCAGGTCTCTTTGGGAAGGTTTGCAGTACAGTGTGAAGAAATGGAGGCGGAGGAGCGTGTACAGTATCCCTGTGTCACGTCCCCGTTTAACGGGGCTTAACTGTGCTTGGCAGAGCGCTGAACGTGCCGAGGAATCGTAGCGGGGTTAAGTATGAGAAGAATGTGCTGAGGATTAAAAGGTCTCTATTGACTCAAGTCACCCTTCTGGCTGAAAATCTCCTACCTGAAGTAGCTGCTTTTGCTTTCTAGCCTCTTAGAAATATGTGGCGGTTTATTTACTCGAACCCCGTCCCTCTCTTGCGTGGGATTTTCCTGCCAGCAGCAAAGAGAAGGGGCACAGTGTGGTCGTGGAAGAGTTAAACCTGTTGCAGCAAAGGTCAGGAGCCTCCAAGGATGTTTTGCTTTTAAATTAATTACCTCCCCAGGAAGCCTGTGAGGGAATCCTTGAGTGAAGCTGTTGTTGGTAGGGAGAAGGTGAGGCACAGGTTTGAGCAGACATGGAAGAGGGAAGTAGTTGATGTGTCTGAAGAGTTTTGTGGGGTTTCAGGGTGTAGATAAGGTGTGTGGTCGAGTCCGTTTGGGTCCAGCATCAGCCCAGCACCCGTACAGGTGATCGGAGGGGCCTGAACGGGTACCTGCGGGTGTCTGACTGCTCTGAGAATACTCCTGGGCTGGCAGGGGTGCGTGGGCTGAGCGTTTGGGGGGTTCTCCTTGGAAAACACTGCCTGCCCTCCCCTCCAAAACGGTGTCCTGCCATCCCGGGCTGAGCGACCAAGCAGAGGAGCCTGGGAGGAGCTCTGGGGTGTGCCAGGACCCTCTGCAGCTTATTGCCACCAAACCCTTTGATCCCTTTGGAGTAAAGGTGCGTGCCCGCTGCCGGGGTGCCTGCGAGCGGGGTCTGGAGCATCCCGCCCGCCCGCGGCAGCTGACTCTATCTTGGGCTCTCATGCCGTGAGCTAGGTGCGAACCAAAGTCCCGCTTACATTCCTCTGTCAGTCTTGTCGCTCTTCAAGTGTCTCTTGTTCTGGAGCTGACCCCATGAAGTGTCCCAGCTGGCTGCCCTGGCCGCTGTCCCCCTCTTCTCCTGCCCTGTCCCTGTGGCTGTGCCTCGGAAGGGATCTCTTTGGGCTGCGTAGGGCACCAGGCAGCTGCAAGGTGCCCGTGGCTGGTATATTGTCGGTGTTTGGTGACCAGAACGCTGTTTTGCCTCTGCCTCAGTTTCCCAGGGCTAACCCTCGGTCCCTTTGGAGTGCTTTGCTATCTTGGTTCTCTTAGGGCACGTAACAGGCCAGGATTTGTACCCTTGGCTGGTTCCTGGAGGAGAAGAGGCACTTCTGCCGAGGGCCACGCCGCACTGCAGCAGGATCTGCCCCTCTCTGCGGAGTGTTTGGCGAAGGACTCGCGTTATCGGGGTGTTTTCCCCAGCCAGCAGCAGCAGCGCCGTGACGTTCCCCGCTGCTGCTGCTCTGAGGAGACTGAGTCAATTAAAAGCTATTTCAGCGGCCGGCAGCTATTTTAGGGAATCAAAGAGCGTGGTGTGGGGTGGAATGATCTTGCTGGGCTGGCAGATCGGGCAGGCGAGAAGGAACAGCTGCTCCGTCTGCTGCTCTCTGTTCCCTGCCCCGCGGGCACGTTAACCCCTTGCTCCTTCTCTTTCAGCTTGCCACAGTAGAGCCCGGGATGAAGTTCCACATGTACACAAAAGAGGAGCTTGAAGAGGTCATCAAGGATATTTGAAAAAAGAGAAAAACTCCCTCAAAGGCTCATTCCTCCCCGATCAAAGCGAACTGACTCGGTTCCTGCCAGTTCCTGTGATTTTTATTTTCCGGCAGCATCTGTAATTGCTCTTCTCAGAAGGCTCTTGAGGTTTTTTTACAGTTTCTGTACATAACTGATCTCTACAATAGGCAGAAATGACAATAAATCATTTTGTTACTCTATCTGGGGCTCCTCATCACAGAGATCTGAGGTGGGGGGGATCGTTCAGAGCTAAATTTGGGGGCAGATGAGGGCAACACCCGCTGCTGAAGTCGGGGTCCTGCCAGCTTTGCGGCACCGCGCCGTGCGGCAGCACCAGCACCGTCCTCGCTGGCTACCGCAGGGGCAAGTCTCCCTCTCGTGGTGATGTCGCATCAGGAGATCTGTGGATCCTTTCCCGTCCGTTTTGAGAATCAAGAGACTTCTAGATCCGCTCGTACCTGTCGGGTGTGTTCCCCTCGTCCTTCTCCGGTGCTTTTTGTCCGAAATGGCTTCCCCGGGGCTCTGACAGCTTCCCAGGGAAGAAATCCATAACCAGGCTCGGGGTTAGTGCTTCCTTACCCGTAACAACCGTGATAGACCAGAGCCCAGCGAGGGGGAATAGCTCTGGGGTGGATGGACAGCCCCTGACCTGTTAGATTGTGCTGGCAGCACTTCATTTTGAGTTCAGCCTCGTTCACCAGCAAACTCCTGCTCACGTTCTCCCCAAGGCTTGTTGTTTTTGTTTCTCGTTCTCCAGCAGACATCTCCATCCTCAAAACAGCATCTGAGAATTAAAGATCAGTCTGCTAAGGGAATAAACTGAGATTAACAAAGTCATTTTTCCTCCAAAACCATGCCTGTGTGGTCAGGGCAGCGTCAGGGGCTGGAGAACCAGCTCTGCCGTGGCCCCAGCCACTTGCTCTGGTGAACATTGGCGGCGGCTGCTCCGCTCTGTCCTATTTTGAGAAATTCCAGTTTCACCCTGAACAAAACAACGTTGTCTGCGGTAGAAGAGATGGACGTGGCCTGTGCTGCTGCCCTGCTCAGCGGGGACATTTCCAACGTTGTATTTGACTGAAATGAGTAACTTTCCACTCGATTCAGCGCTAGGGATCGCTCTCCAGCGGGCGTTTCATTGCTCGGTAAAGCCAAACAGTCGCAGCAAACCGTGGCTGAGCTGCCCTGTGCCAGCCTCTGCCTTTGGCGGAAGGGAAAATGCCAATCCTCTCAAATTTTTTTTTTCCTCTCTTGCTGTTGCCAGACAGATGCAGGAAGGGAAGCCAGGGCTCCTTGGGTGGAGGATCAGTCCTTGGACAACCTCGGTTTCCAGACCAGCTGAGCGCTCTCCTTGCAGGAGCTCCTGCTGTGAGGTTCCCCTCTGGGTAAGAGTCTAAAGGAAACAAATTCGGGCGATGCCTGAGGTCGTGGTAAGGCTTGAGTAGAACTTGGAAGTGGGAGAGCAAACATAAAGAATAATTAGTTGATGAACTTTACCCTTCCTTGTAGCCTAAATGTGGGGAAACGAGCCTGCCTTTGGCTCTGCCTGCGCAGCTTTGGGGCGCTGTACTCCATCTCTGTGCCACTCCTCATCCCTAAAATGAATTTTGAGGCAGCAACGAGGGTGGCTCTGGCGTGGGAGCTCACCTGTCCTGAATATCCAGTAAGCCAGGATGATATCCAGGGCGCTGCCCTGAGCATCGCCCTCATAAAACCGCCGGGTAAGTGAAACTGGGGCTGTTATCGGCTGTTGGGTGTGCAGAAGGTAGGAACGCCCTTTATTTCCGAGCTTTCTATCGACTCCAAGCTCGTCACCTTCCCTTCTCCCTTGGGCAGGAGGCTGATGGGTGTGAACCCCACAACGAACCCTGCTGTTCCGGGAGGTAGGCCTCTTTCTAGGCTTGTTTGTGTCCTAGGAAACACAAAAAGCTAATTCTTCCGTGGCGGGGCACTGAGCAGAAACTGTTCCCTTCTGCCCTGCCCTCGTCACACGGCTCGCTGGTGGCAGCATCACATGAGAGCAGCTCTTCTGGGCGTGAAAATCGAGGCTTTGTGCTCCTTATCGGATCCCGCTTGGCAAGGGCAAAGCCTGAGCTCTTTCCAGCCGGGCATCGGGGGGAACGTGAAAGTGGGATGAGGGGCGGGGAGCCCTGCGCTGCTCTCCCCCTGCTTCCTGCCCTGTCCCCCGCTGTCAGGGCAGCTGAGCTGTGCCCCCCCCCCAGGCACCATCTCACTGCCTTTCCTTGGGCCCTTCCCACGTCAAACTTTTTTCAGGGAAGGGAGGAGGAAAATAAAGAAGTGTAAAGATGATGCAGCAGAATAAAAATTCCCTTTTTGCGAAGGAGAAAGGATGAGGGCTGGGGGGGGAAACACAACCC